AATTATTTAGCAACGATTGATGTAACGTTATTTCGTCAATATTTTTTTAATTGTTCAATAGTAGAAATTGAAGGGCGAACATTTGGTGTTCGAGAATATTTTCTTGAAGATATGATTCAATTACTTAATTTTCAACCAATGAATTCATTAACAAGTCGAAAACAAAATAATAAAAATCGACAATTACAAGATGATGATGACGATCTTGGATATGAAGATTCACAAGCAGATGATATTGAGGTTTTCATTGTTTTCTTAATTTTTTTTTTCAGGATGATCATTCCGACTGTTAGAAATGACAGCTTAAATTACATTAAATCGATATAAAAAGGCCTAATCTGGAAAAATCGTCGGTCATTTTTTTGGGTGGTCATCCCAGATTAAGTAGCGTTTCCATTAAAAACTGATGTTCAGTGTCCGGACTATACTTCATCGAATAATGTCTTATTTACACTGTTTTTTGTCACACACGCCTTATTTAAACTACTTCCGTTATATTCTAGATAACTCGCTGCTGATGTTTTCTATTGTCACATGAAATATTCTGTTTCATAAATAGAAGTTTTACATACATATCTACCAGCATACGTTACATCGAAAATAGATGTGGGATGAAAGGGTGCAAACAGACACAACAGTTATACTTCCTATGCATGAAAATACCATCAAATATGTTTTCCCATAAATTTGTTTATTAATAAAACAAACACGATGATTTAAAAAATATATTTTTTAACAAAAAACTCACTGCAGACGTTTTTAAACGTAAACAAACTGTCGTTTCGATATGTGTTGGGAAACATCATTGAAACTTTAATAAACGTTTTAGAAAGTATCTAATAATGTTTTTAAGATACTTTTTTTTTATTCTGTAAGAAAACAGGGGAAGTAGAGCTGTAGGAACAGTTTACAAGCCGTTCTATTTCATCTGGGTCTCCTTGTTTTTTTCATTATTTATAGTTTTTAATGAGAATAATGCCATAAGGACTTGAACTGTTATTAATTTTTTGTCGAGTTCTATTGTTTAATTTTTCATCGAATTGAATTGAAACTTATTTTTGTACAGTCAAATCAAAATCTCAGAGGGATTTTCAGAATTTTCTTGAATCTTCGATTAATCAGCTCGTGACATTTAACTCAAGTTTTACAGAACCATAAAAGATATTATTCCTAATGAATAAGTGTTGGTCCTGATCTTATCTACTTCTACCTTGATGATTAGTTCATAATTGATTTTATGTTGAAAAAACCTAAGATAGGAAATGAATTATAAATTTTTTTCTCTTTTGAAAGGATGTTAATTGTAATGCCATATGTGGCAAAGAATATTCTCGACAAACAGCAGCAGCAATGAGTCAATTAAGTGAAAAATCACTTTCATTTCAACTAATTGAAGTAAGAAAATAAATTCAATAAAAAAAAAAAGGAAAAAAAACGAAATAATTAATTTTTAAGGCATTAATAAGTTATATCTGTAGTTTGAGTGATGATGGAGCTATATTAATATTTTTACCTGGATGGAATTTAATTCAAGCATTACTTAAATATTTTCAACAACATCCAAGATTTAGTAAATTATTTGTTTGTTTGTCTATTTTTTTTTTGTTTCATTAAATATATAACAATGGCCATAGGTAGAAAAAAAAAGAAATTCTTTGAATAAAGTTTCTAAAAATATTTAATATAACTTTTTATCTGAATCAATAGATTACAAAAATTTTCCTCCATTGTATCAACTTATAAAATATATGACCAAAACTATAAATAAATATGTATGTTGTCTTTTTCACTATGGAAATCTTAGATTTATATATTGAATACCATGTGGACGTTGAAAATCCTGTTTTTTTTTACTTGAAAACATTAATTGTATAATATTATCTTTGTTCTTTTTTTAAAATTAATTATATTTAATAATAGAAAAATTAAAAGGGAAAAATTATTATCTTATACGATGACGATGAACGAATTGCTCCAAATGCTGCAACGAATTTGCTTGAACGTGGTTATAACAATTCTTTTTTACTTACTGAAGGTAAAATTTTCTAAGAAATGATCATTTGAATTTCGATAAGATTGACAGTTTTTGTGATATTAGTTAAACAATTTCAAAATGTGTATGTGTTTTTTTTTGTCTTTTCCACAGTATAAAAGATAATAAGTAAACGGTATTCATTGAAATAAGAAGTGTTGATAGGAGCGTTTTTTTGTTTCCTCAACTGAAATGTAAAACACACTTTTCAATTGACTCTTAGATTTAATATTTCATAGTAAGTTTTAATAAGAAAAAAAAACATTTGTCTATCCTATTACTGACTTCACTTCGTGTGATGATATGTTTCTATTATCATTAATCTTTATTATTTAATCAATTACTGAAAAATATAAAGAATATCATTTGAATTTATCTATTTCAATTAGCGAATTCTATTCTATGAAACAAAACAGCTTCTAACAAATTGTAAACAAAGAAACATCTAGAAGTCACTTCATGATAGAGATGATTAACTAAGCATATGGTCCGTACTTGGGCCGTCTCTTTCGTATAATGGCTCCTAGGGATGTTAATACATTGTATGATAATTACTAACAATGAAGGTGTTTGTGTTGATAATGAAAAAGACAGGACATATTCGGGCCAAATCAAAACTCACATCGTCAAACTAACAAGGTTAAAATATTAACGGCCCTTGGCTTGCGTAGAGGGAGATATTTAAATTTTAAAGTATGTGAAATTTAAGTATAAAAATGAATCAAAAAAGGTTTTCTGCACTATTATAAGGACAAAACATAGTGTCGTTTGGGCCGATTATGAGGTTTGTAGGGATCATTCTTTCACATGATCCGAACAACACTATGTTTTTGTCCTTATAATAGTGGAGAAAATCTTCTTTGATTCATTTTTATACCTGAATTTCACCTACCTAACAATTTAAATATCTCCCTCTAGGTAACCCAAAGGCCGCTAATATTTTAACCTTGTTAGTGGGGCGATGAAAGCTTTTATTTGTCCTGAATATGTCCTTTCTTTTTTATTATCAACATCAACACCTTCATTGTAAATAACGTTCAGTGTTTATTTACAAAACCTTTTTTTTTGTTATTATCATCACAAGAACATTTTAATTAATAAAAAAAAGTTTATTATCCTTAAAGATCAATAGAATATGAAGTATGCTATAAGCAAATAAAAATAATTAATGAATAAATCTTGTAGCTGTTATGAAATAAAATCATTTCGATGAAAAGACGTAGAATTGACTTACTTTAAAATGACAAAATAAAAAGAACTCTATAAACAATAAAAAAGTCTTGTCGGATATGTTGTTATTGTAATTGATATTCAACAATTGTGATCATTAGATATCTTCAAATTGAATTCTTCTATATAATCAACAAAAAGAAAGAAAGATTTCTTTCTCTTTTATTTTTCATGAAAAGTAAAATCAATAAAACAATACTGAAAGTTGTAAAATTTTGAAATGGCATAGTAAGGGTAAAAAAAAACCTTATATATGGACGTTTAAAATATTTGAAAATCATTGAAATTATCGCATGCCATATGCTTAGTTAATAATATTTTGCATCTACACTTTAGACGATGAACATATTGCTTTTTTTTTGTTAAAAATTCAAAAAGTCACATTTCTTGTGTCTTAACTTTTCATCTAGCTTGTTACACAATAACTGATGAAGTCATTACCTGACAAATATTGTTAATAAGAAAAAAAAGAAAAGAAGCAGCATTTCTAAATAATTTGACTTATTTATTCGAATGGAATTTTTCTCATATGTAACAAGCATATCTCGTACTGAAGATATACTGTTTATCGAATTTATTGCATATTAACTAAACAATCAATACTATTCAATAGATTAATGATATTATTAAGCGCTCGGACACATGCGAATGCTCCATTGTTGGCTGATTGATCTTTTGTGGATAGAGCCCATGGGGTCCAATTCATACTTAGACCCAGAAAATCTTGGGCCTAATGGGCTCTAGTTCACAGGGTGTTAGAGATACGCACCATCACTTTTAAAAAATTTTCAGTGTTTTTTCTTCAGCCAAAATTGTATTTGATTATGAAAGAAAAACTGCAAACAAAAAAAAGTCCAGTACTTCTTCCTATTCTAGAAAAAATTTTATATCTTTAGGTTTAAAATATGGTATTCGAAAATTTTCTCGTGGTCCTTTAACTGGTTCGTGTCCATTATCATAGACATTACCAAGTGCACCACAAACACCATCAACAAAACTTAAACGTTCACAATCAATGAATACAAATCGTCAAGAAATACCCGTTGGTCAATCTGTTGCCAGTGTAACACGACCTTCACCAGGTTTTATGGTTACATTTGATACACGTGAGGAATTTACAAATCATGATATTGAAGAATTAAATATACAACTTGAAAAAAAATTATTACCAACCGATAGTGGTAGTCGTTTATCACGTTGACAAACACAAGCATCAAAAGTTTCATTGAGAACGTTCTCTAAACTATATGTTACGAGATTAGGCTTAGTTCCACTTACTGTTTTTTTTTATATGAATACAATCATAGATCAGTAAAATGAAGATTTTAGACTGGTATAGATCGATATCAGTTCCATCTATGAACTAAACAATTGATAATTCGTATTTGTTGTTTTTATTTTCTTTATTTCATACGTTAATAAAACAAAAAGAAACAAACAAAAATATCTCATGCTCAAAAACAGAGAAGTTATTTTCATATCGAAACAAAAATCACTTAATGATGTATGAAAAGAAAACAAACAAAAAAAATAACACTATACATTTGATAAATGTTTGTTAGAAAATTTTGTAAAAAATAAATTTCATTGATTTAAATTTATTGAAGATATCAAATCATTTGTTACAATTATTAATTCATGGTTATCAGCTACATAATAAATAGCATAACAATCAACTGAATAAGATTCTAAATATTGTTCTATATTGAATATATGTAAAATATCAATTGACAGATCATTAATAAAAAAAATCTTGATTTAAAGATTTAATAAATGCTGAATAAATTGTTAATAGTTGTTGAGCACGTGGTAATTCAATTAATTTTAATTTTTCATTTGTTATACAATCATTTGTTACTGAACAAAATACAACACCATATGATAAATTATCCATTTGAACAAGAAAATTTATTGTTTTTTCATTAACACATAAATATATAAAACGTCTTATATCAGGAAACCTATTTGTTAAATCAAAATCATGCACATGAACTAATTTTTCAAGAATATTTTTTAATAATGTCCAACGACCATTACGATTTAAATAAATATGATACATATATAGATCGTATACAGTATCAATACCAGGCTTTGGTGCATCTTTCTATGGTAAAACTTCAATTTCGACCCGTCTTCGAAAAATTGAATTTTCTGAGGGGGGGGGGGACCCGGTTAATTCAATGTTTTTTTGTTTATTTTAGTTCAACTTGAACATTGAAATCGAACAGTAAATATTTTATTGACTACATGAATTTTATTTTTATTTATTTTTGTTCAATTCGAACATTCAAATCGAACAATAAGTATTTTATTTATTAAATGAATTTTATCTTTGTTTATTTTAAGCATAGATTCTAGATTAATTTTATTTATGATATTTAGATATAATTGATAAATTAATTTAAATAGTTTAAGAGAAAAGAAAAACACTTTATACATTGTTTTTTTAATTAAAATAATTGCGAACTAAAAAAAATTATTGTAATATGATTAAATATATTCTGAATTTTTTTAAAGTTAGAAGAATATTGAGCATAGGCAGCGGAGCCATTAGGCTTGGGTAGGCTTAAGCCTACCCTAGATTGGAGAAGGGTAGGCTTGGGTAGGCTCGAACGACGAGAGAGCGTAGGCTTAGGTAGGCTCGAGCGAGGAAAGAGTGTAGGTTTGGGTAGGCTAAAAATAGAACAAATCAAGGCTTTGGTAGGCTCAATAAAATATAAGTTTTCCATTATTGTTTACTTTTCATATTCTTCTAACATGAAACGTATTTTTAGAAGTTCAGTGCATCTTTTCACTTCTGCTAACTTCGTGCTCCATGAAATATTTGTTGAATTTCGTTAGTATCTATACTGTCATAGAATTTTTGGTTCTCAAGATAAGACAGTTGAATTGGTTTTTTTGTGGATATCTATTGAAAATAATTTCTGAATTTTAAATACTTGAATAACGTTACTTCTTTCGTATAATGATACAAGCTAAACAAAATCAGAATATTTTTTTTCGAAATTGAAAACAGTCCAAGAATAGTTTTGATGAAAACCCATTTTCTGTTGAAATTTTCATCTAAGAGTCCAAATGATACTAAAGATGCACCAAGATTATATACAGAAATGCCATAATTGGAACCAGCCGAAACCTCGCTATCAACTTCATCAAATATCTATTCTGATTTTTTTTTCAAAGAATCAAGATAAGAAAACATCTTCTGTTCTTGAATAGTTTTATTCCTTGTTAGACGATCCTTCTATTGCTTTTTTAAGGCTCCGTCCCTCAAAAATCTATCTCAGACTAGGAACATCCAAATTACATGACACTTTCAGGATATGTTGGGGCTGGTGTAGGAAGGTATGGTAAAATTTTCAACCATATATCATGACGTTTGACAGAAGTATTCACTAAACAAGGGTAAAAAAATAGCTCGATCGTATCTCTAAGAATTGTCTGTAGGCCTTTATTCTATACATTTAATTTTTTTGTTTCAAGCTCTTGTTTAAGGTTAGCTTCTCTTGTGATCCATTTGTTTTTTTAACTTTTACTTTTTAAGCGAAGAAAAGAGATGAGAAGTTCAATGATTCAAAAAACCGTAAATAATGGACTATTTCTATAGAGGTGTTTCTTATATGATGATAAAAAAGCTTATTTCAAAAAAAAAAGGCGGCGAGAGGCCTAGCCATATACACGAGCCTTCAAACAAAAAAAGTTATTGGCTACAATGAAGCTCCTTCCAGAATTCTTGGAGATACAATCAAAAACTGTAAAACGAAAAGGATTTTTTGGTTTTTTCAAAAACAGCCTATGTTCCGAATAGAAGATGAAAGAAATCTTCAAAAGTTTCTAGAAAAAGCGAAGTGCCGAATAAAAATTTTTGCCGTGTATGAGAGATCAAATCACGAGCTATCTTCCTCTGCATTTATCTGAATTTTGATCATTCTGAGGAATAGTGATTTTTCTTGAGAGATCCTTAAATAGCCTTTTTCAATTACTTCCGTATGTCTTGTTGTGCTAGGAAACGATGTCGCACTACATATCTAGTTATCGTGTTTATAAAGAATTAAAGTCTAGGAAGAAAAGCTATAAGGCTCACCATTATAGAAAAAATAAACAAAAATACTTATTAATCCGTTCGCATTGGTCTAGAAAACAATTAGGACTAAAATTATATTGAAATCGATTAAAAATTTATTATTATATTGCAATTTTTGCCTATTTTTAATCATTATTTAGACGACTTTGATCGAAAAAACCCAAAGTTCATTTATAATACGATTGACTCTGATCATAATCGATTAGAACTTATTTAAAAAACCGACTCTTTTTGATGCAAACTGATAAAAATTGGGTGAAGAAATTTTTCATTTATCACAAAGAAAAGTTACTAAAAATCTAATGATTATAATCGATTTAATCTGATTTCAATCCGTCTTTCATATGAGCAGACTTGGTTCGACTGAAAAGTTGAGCCTACCCCAGACTGGATCCGCTCCGCCGCCTATGATATTGAGTATTAATAAGGTTCACGTATTAGAATGATTTAAACAATAGCGACACGTGTATTTGGCATAGAAATGAGTGTACGTGAACCTAAATATTTAGAAAAGGTTAATGATTATTTAAAAAAAGAATGTATGCAAATCAATTTACCATTAAACCAATCAACTTTGACATGCTTTAATTTTAGATATTTATTGATTATTGTTCCTGAAATTTTTTTTGCCTAATAATAATAAAATTAAATAAAATAATTTTTTATATAATAGAATCTGATCATTCCATAATGTTAATTTGATATGAACATCATCCTGAGCAGCATGGAGTTCACGTCGACTCCACATATTAGAATTGGTATTTCCTACAGTTATTCCATAATCTCTTAAAACTTTCACGTGAACATCTATATTGTATGATTCATTATATAAATTATCAATATTTTAAAATTAATTTTCATTGATGAATACGAACCAATTATTGAGTGTAATGGTAGTGTTTCAACATGACGCAAATGTGTAAAATTATAGATTAATTGGTACTCGAACGGAATAATAATTTCTCGTACTTTACTGGTTCCAGTTGTAATCAATTGGTAATCGTGTGGTAATTTTTTATAAGCAGGATCAACAGTACGAATAGATAAACCGCTGAATTCGTATGACTATATACATATATATATAATGAAGTCATTTTTTTTAATAGTATTTTATTACTTTGTTTTCAATTAACTTGATCGACATCATGTATGAGTCGAGATTAAAGGCTACTAAATTTATCTCGCTCGTTTCATCAGCTAAATCACAGGTGAAGACTTCTCCTTCACCATTTGAGTTGGCGTATGTTCTTTTTTGATGTTTATATGTAACTATGGCTCGTAATGACCATCTGTATTATATGTATAAGAGGATATAAAGAAAAGAATAAATATGATTCATTATGAGAATTAAATAATGTCATATTTAAATTATTCTTTTTTAATATAAAGCAAAACTATTTATTATATATATATCTGTAAAAGAAATGAAGCATATATTGGCTTAGATAAATTAATAATAAATGCATGTAAAATATGTTTAAAAAAACATATGTTAGTGAGAAAAATGAAGAACTTACGGAAAATCGATATCAATATTAATTTGATTGATTTTTAATAAATTTGGTTCATTATCTTTAATGAACATTAAAATTAAATTCTTAGGTTATAGATGGAAATAGAATATTTAATCATTAGACAATGAAAGAAAATTTCTTCTAATACATGTAAAAAGTTTTTTATTAGAAATATTCTTATTTTTAGAAATATTATATTTGATGTTTTTTTTATTTCTTTATAAAACATACTATTTTGTATATTGACGATTTCAACAATATCTTCTTCTGTTTCTTCATTTTGATCTTGATTAATTATGTTATTTGTATTACTATTATTATTTAGATTAATACTATTATTTATATTACCAGATATATTAGCATTAATATTATGAATAAGAGAATGATTATTAGTTTCATTATTATTAGGATTTAAACTATCATTATGATTAGCAATATCATTAAGATTAACACAATTACTATGATTATCATTATTATTACGATTAATAGCATCATTATGATTACCATTAATATTAGTAGCACCATTAGTACTACCATCACCATGATCATTATGGTTTTCTATACTATTATTTAAATTTTGTTCCATTGATACACTTGATGCTGATTGAACATTAGTAGAGAAAAGTTACCGAGTGAGACGATAAACAGGTAGCTTTTCTCTACGATTGTAAGGACAAAACATGGTACTGCTCGAACCAATCTAGGGTTATCTGGTATCCTCTCTCATATGACCTGAATAATAGTACTTTTTATCCTTACAATAAAAGAAATATTAATGGGGTATCCAGCCAGACTGATCATCCCCATATATATATTGACACAATAAGAGTTGATTTATTTCATTTCTTTTAATCGAGTAATGCTAAAACAGCAATTGAGTACTGAAACGTAAAAATCCATTCTTTGCACGAATATTATATCGTATGGAGGATAACATTCAAATGTTTTTTTCCTGTTATAAAAAGAGCAGATTCGAGCAAAAATATAAATCAAGCAACTATTGCATATAATTTCCTTTTTTCTAAATCGCTTAAATCCTTAATAAGAGCAAAGGGGGGGGGGGGGGAAAAAGACCATAAAAGGAAAAATAGTTGTGAACAAATTTGTTAATTAATTTTTTTAAGAATTCGCACGAAAGCAAAGCGCGCCTTATGAAAATTGTTTACGGCAGTAAATCCCGCGGCAGTAAATCCTGTACACGCTCTAAAACATGATCAAAATCAAAAGTAATCGAGGTTGAAGAATTGAAGTCAGAGTCAATTTATCATACGTAATAACTAATATTTAATAGTGTTTTAATAATGTTTTTGATATGGCTTGAGCGAAGACAATCGAAGATAGGGAATCCGAATACGACGTCCTTTTCTCTGTTATCTAAGTTTCCTCACTAAGTTAAATCTGTTATCCTTTATATTTGTACATGGTTTTAACTTGTATGAACGGGAATGAGAAGTAAGACAT